AAGCTCAACATTCAGGCGGATTGGCATACCAGTAACAATGACCATGTTTTGATACTGCAAAACAGACAAATTTGTAAATCGCTGCGGAAGGCAAAACAAAAACCACACAACCACTGCCCGATTTTCGCAGAAAAGCCAAGAATGCCCCTGTGTTCAGTCCCTACGAGGCGATCAGTGAACAGATATGAAAAAAAAAAAAACACTCAGAAGTAGAAAAAGTAGCAGCAAGTGCCATCTTTCTCTTACTGTAGTAAGCAGACTATTATCATGCGCAAATGTGACCGAACATTTTGAAATCAGCTTAAATATGCCTAGAAAATGATAACAAGAAAAAGTGGCTAGCGATATATTTTGAGTAATCGGCAAATACAAGTGGACAAACAGTTGAAAAGTTTTGGGAGATGAGGCTGTACAGGAGAAAAAACAGGACTACTTAGGTAAGCTGCGGGCGGTTTGAGCTGATTTGCATTCCTATTAAAACTACTTGGAGACAATCTAAACTTCGAGGGAAAAAAAACGCTTCGTGAAGAACAATATTACCTACAAACACATCTACATAACAGAGTATGAAATCAAACACGAGCCTCAGCATTATTCTAAAGACTCGTGCACACATTAAAAACAAAAAAAAATTAGTAAAAAAGGGCAACACTTTATATTAATTTCAAGATCTTTCGTTTACTGGACAGGCTGCAAAGCTAAAACCTCGCAAGGATATTCTATTTTCATGTGTGGTCTTAATTCAGTTGGAATTGAAATCCCCTATATGCAAACATGATAAACACTCGATTTTATCGCGAACTCAAAAGCGAGTGCATTTTGCATATTTCATAATCTTCTTCCGATTTCCTTCGAATTTGCATTTCTTTTTCAATGAACGGCTGTTTCATGGAAAAAATGACCAGGCTTTATGCAAAAAACTGATAATCGTATACACTGACGGCTCATGTACCCCATAATGTAACGTCATCTCAGCCGGCGTCTTTTCCGTTTGCATGCGAGAAGAGGCAAAACACAGTCAATATGAGTGCACGTGTTAAACTACACCGATAAATCAAAAGTCAAAATTTCTTCCTTATTCACTGTCTATGAGAAGCAGTGACATTCGGGAGTAACGCAAGTGTTGCGCAGCAACAAAAATCCTCATCTCGCAAAGCGGGCAATAGCTTCCCTCATCGAGAAGTGCCCGGATCAAGCTGTTAGCGGGTTCGACTCCTTGGCACACGCCAAGACCGACGAGTGAATTTTAAAGAGACCGGATGCCCCATCCGACGAACGGATTTTGAAGAGATCGGATGTCGAACCCTCCAAATTCAGTAGAAGAGCGGTGTTACCTATCGCTGCCCTATGCATGCCAGGGGTTTTTAACAAATCTCAGGAAATTTAAAAAAGAAAAAAGAAAAACAAGGAGGTAATCTCACATCGTTGGATTTTTTGACGATTTCTGCGAGCACTTCCCAGGAGTGAAATTCGGTGTCGAGCTCAAAGAAGTGATCCTGGCACATATAGCCCGAAATTTCCAGCTCTGCACCAACACGTATTCTTGCTCCCCTTTTATATGCAACAGCAATACCTGCAGTGATCCGTAGTTTCATGTAGAAATTCATTTTTTCCGTTTTACGAATCTCATAAGAGTTCAAGCACAAGAAGTCTGTTATCTACAGGGATGAGAATGAATGGAGAGCACTTTTCACATCAAACATTCCACAAAAAACCGAGTTACCGCAGGTGAGAACATTAAATTTGTTCATTTTAACAGAGTTTTCTGAATTATCTATGCTTTGCAGTCTAGCACAGCTATGTCCAGCATGTCTGAGCATCCCAGCAAAATCACTAGCCCGATCCCACACAGCTACTGCCCCCTGGTATTCTTATGTTGCAAATGGAAAAAATGGCCAACGCACGGGCTGCCCGTGC